ATAGTCTCACAGGTCTTCAGTCTCAACATTCTCCACATTGCAGACATAGCCGGGTGGATCCCTGTGAGATAGAGGCCAGCCTGATCTATACATAGCGAGTTTCAGGCCAGCCAGAGTGACAGTCACATCCTGTCCTCCCCCAAAAAATGTTTAATTGAAAGAGAGGCCAAAATACACAAATAGATGGGTTTAAATGTTTAAAATAAGTAAATAAATCTAAACAATATTTAAAATGTCAAAGAATAGAAATGCCATTCATGTGGAGGGCACCTGCTACACAGCAGTTTGAGTCTAAGGCAAGGAAGGTGCAAACAGTGTTGCAGAAGAATGACAATAGGAAAAAGCTTGACTGCTGTGGATGACTCTGGGAGATTATCTTCCCACAGCAGTAAGATGCTAGCTACAGGCGGGGTGTGGTGGCACATGTCTTTAATTTCAGTACTGTGGAGGCAGAAGCTGGTTTGTGTGACTTTCATGCCAGCTTGGTTAGGCCAGCCAAAGTCACAACATAATGAGAACCTGTATTGAAAAAAACAAAACAAAACAAAACAAAAAACTAGATTCTCCAGCTAAATAACCAGCTACCTCCACAACTCCACAAATACCAATCAGGGCAAAACTGGCAGGACACACAGCTGTTTTCAGGAGATAGATGACAGTGTGTGGGGATAAATTACTGTACAGAAGCCTACAGGAACTAGGTGACTGTCACAGGGAAACAATTTGGCAGAAGCAACCTAGTAGCTCTGGGCTGGGGCTGGGACTCCTAAGCATGTTGGAACAGGCTAAGCCTGTGTACCCAGGGAGCTGCATCTTGGGAACTGTAGGGAGGGGAGCCTCCTGGTCCCTATACTTTTAGAAAAGCCAGTGGCTTTCCCTACAGTACTGTCCCTATGCTTCCTTAAGGTGACACTAGAGCCGCAAAGTCAGTTTCAGTGACTGATGCCCAGACACGTGCTCCTGGGTCGAAATATTCCCCTTCTGGTGTTTCCCTGGACTGTAACCTTATATGGGAGAGTAGTCGGTGGTTAGTTGCCTATCCTCCTGATACACCCAGATGCACGTTTTTAACTATTCATAGGGGAAAAAAAGGACGTGCCACACCTTGTTTTTCTTTTGGAACCCGGTGTAGAGGATCTCTGATGCTTCTAGTGGGGCGTGGCCCAAGGCACTGTGACCCGCCTTTTTACCTAGCTAGAGGTAGTGGTATTGTCACCGTCTCTGCCCAGTCTCCCATCTCCCTAAGAACATAACATCTGTTTCCGAGTTACAGTGAGTGGGGCGGGCCCAACTAGCGAGGACCGTGACAGCCTACAGAAGCTTGAGAGCAATCAAGGGCTTATCTTGGTGCTCTTTGTAGGCTCCTTGATGCGGGTTGGAGCTTTGTGGGTGCGTCTCCTGCTCCAGCCTAATGACAAAGGAACTTTGAGTTCCTAGCATGGCGCTTTCGCGCCATTTCCTGTAACACTGAGGAAAGCCTGAACAACAACTGTGGAGCACCATAAACTGCTGAATACCTGCGTGACCGTCCAGTTCCACTGAGAAAAACTTTTTTTCTTTTGACGTCTTAGAATATTGTAAGCCACTCGTTAAAGCAAAGTCTGTCAATGGCTCCCCACCCAACATGGCCAAGCGGAAGCAGGTTTTTCTTGTCTATGTGTCGAAACCTCATTCGCCAGCACGCGGCTCCCTATTCCGGTGTTCAGTCACCGATGCACTCTGCGCATGTGTCCGTCCAGCCTGGTACGCATGCGCACAGCCTCACTGTATCTATGATCCTGGCGTCTGGTAGAGCGTCGACACCACCCCCTGGCTGGGACTCTATGGTTCCTGTACAGAAAGATAGGCCTCCTATATAAGGCATGCGCAGGCGAGGGAGCGTCTCTTTTTCTCCGGCGCGGTGAGTGAGTTCAGTCCGTTCTTATCGTTCGGTGGTTTCATCGTTCTTTGGAACTTACATATATACTTTGTATCTGTATGCTTACTTTAACTGTTACATTGCAGCCACAGACGTTCCTATTGTCATCATGGGCCGCCGCCCCGCCCGGTGGTGAGTTGCTGAACCCATGCAGTTTTCCTACTGTAAAAACGGAGGAATTATTGAATTTCGTTCAGAAGACACTTGTTGGGGGTGGACTATCCATCACTCAGCGACTCTGAACTCACCCCAGGTTTTCTCTAACACTTTACTGGGAGCTTTGTTTTGTCGAGGTTGTGGGTGGATTGACCCAGGAGTAGTTAAAGCTCTTCTGTAAGGCTTGAAGCAAGTTCATATGCATCCGTACCTCTGTCTCACAAATAAACCTTGTCGTAAAGACTTCTATATCTTCTTGGTTTCTCTGTACGGGCCTTGTGCTTTGGTTTCAACTGGACCCTAAGGGCTGACCAGGGGACAGTGGGCACCACGTAGCCGCGTGTCCTGTAGAGGGCGCCATATTTTCTTCACGTGGCCGAGGCGGGTCTTGTGTCACATGCTCTCAAGTCTTGAGGAAAAATTGTGTTATAACACCCTCCTGGTTTAGGGGATCACCCCCCCCCCCAAGAGTTTCCCGTAAGGGAGACTGAATTCAGAGTTGGTCATTTCTCGTCGCTATTGCTTGCTGTTTAGCACCCTTATCACCTGAGTTTCCTTTCTCCTGCAGTTACCGATATTGTAAGAACAAGCCCTACCCAAAGTCTCGCTTCTGCCGGGGTGTCCCTGGTGAGTACTGACAAACCTTGAAGACTGGATTAGTGGTTTTGTCTAGTTCCCCACCTCGTTTATTTATACCATGTGTTTTTCAGATGCTAAGATTAGAATCTTTGACTTGGGTCGGAAGAAGGCAAAAGTTGATGAATTCCCACTTTGTGGCCACATGGTGTCAGATGAATATGAACAACTCTCTTCTGAAGGTGAGACTCCTTTTTAGTTGACATTTCTTCCTGACTATACTCTTTTCAAGGTTGGTAATTGTAATTTATCCCATTGCCTTTATGCCATCCTCTTTGGCTGGTGTTTCTCTGCCCCTCAGCACTGGAGGCTGCCCGTATTTGTGCCAACAAATACATGGTAAAGAGTTGTGGCAAGGATGGCTTTCATATTCGAGTGAGGCTCCACCCTTTCCATGTCATCAGAATCAACAAGATGTTGTCCTGTGCTGGGGCTGACAGGTAAGCTGGCAGTTTGCACCCTTTTCTGTAACTTTGGGTTTGGTGTTGCACTAGTAAAGGCAGACAATCTGGAGAGATTGCTCTGATTAAGAGCTCTGACTGCTCTTGCAGGGGAACCAGGTTTGTTCAATTCTCAGCACACACATGGTGGCTCATAACCATCTCTAATTAAAAGGGGTGTAGAGACAGCTTTACATACTGTTACTCATGTTCACTTTCTGGGGGAAAGAAGGTAGGGCAAGGACTGGCATGTGGGTTTTAATGGATATGTCTTGAATTCATAGCCAGAATTAGGCCAACAGAACGCTGCCACAAATAAGTAAAAATAAAATCCTGACTAAGGCTTATTAGCCTTTGGGTCCCAAATAACAGGGAAAACTTAATGTACTTCGGATCATCTCCTAGTGGGTACAGGTTGGGTAGATGTTGAAGGGCTAGTAATGGCCTCCCAAATGATTCTTTGGGCTGTCCACACATCCCAGGAGTATTTAGGGGAGGATTCTCTCTCCCTCTTATTGCAGCTAATAAGCCGACCAAATCCCTTTCCCCTTGGGAACTTGGTGTGCAATGGTTGCAAACAGCAGACTTCCTTGGTGTAGTGTATGCAGCCTGTTACTTTATATGGGTTGCCCCAAGGGACCTTGGAAACATTTTTCTGGCAGTTATTCAAATTTCTGATCTTAATGCTGTCCCCAATCTAGGCTCCAGACAGGTATGCGAGGTGCCTTTGGGAAGCCCCAGGGCACAGTGGCCAGGGTTCACATTGGCCAGGTCATCATGTCCATCCGCACCAAACTTCAGAATAAGGAGCATGTGATTGAGGCTCTGCGTAGAGCCAAGTTCAAGTTCCCTGGCCGCCAGAAGGTAAGTGGTTTTAAGTTTTCTCTGTTTTCTTGTCCTGGTCCTCCTTGCTGAAGTTTTCTTTCCCTCTAGATCCACATCTCAAAGAAGTGGGGCTTCACCAAGTTTAATGCGGATGAATTTGAAGACATGGTTGCTGAGAAGCGACTCATTCCTGATGGCTGTGGGGTCAAATATATCCCCAATCGTGGTCCCCTGGACAAGTGGAGAGCCTTGCATTCCTGAGGGCTTCCACAGTGCTCTCCTTGTACCCTATCAAATCATATTCAGTAATAAATCTCAGATCCAATCTGCTTATACATTTGGTTTTGTTTTGTTTTTGAGACAGTTTCTCTGTAACCTTGGCTGGACTTATTTTGGACCAGACTGGCCTTGAAATTAAAAGTTTGTTTGATCAAAGGGTTAAAGTTGGTGATTTTATTAATATTTTAAAGCCTGGATATCCCTGGCAGAGTCATGAAGTATATCATGCAATTTATGGAGCTAGTGGAACAGATGACTATTTGAGAAGCAGGATTATTTGGAAGCAAGTGTAGGCCAATATGAACAGTTAGTTTTAAGTTCATGTTTCGTGAGATATAATTTGAATTCTCAACCCTATCCCTACTGGGGCCTCCCTTGTCATTGCTCATGATTGTACCTCAGGTAGGATGGCATACAGGAACAAGTCCTGGTTATCTGTAACAGGAATCACAGCATTGGATATGTTAGGAAAGTCCTAGCCCTGTTTTTCTCTTAAAATAGCAAGCAAAAGAGATCCTAAATGGAGGAAAAAAATTATAATTGACCTTCAGGTCCAGGAGATGCCACTCAAATTAATGGCCATATAGCCCAGCTGAGATGGCAGGAGCAGCAGGGTGGCCAAATTGGTTGGGATACCCTGAGATGCCAGGCTCAGTTCTAATTCCACAGGACCTGAGAAGACGGTGTTTAGCTGTCAACTCCCCTCTACAGCTCTGCCCTCAGCCATTGTACCAAGCCAATTTTAGTCAGCTGAAAGCTGAGGAAGTCAAAAGGGAGCTGCAGCCTTCATAGGTACAGTTGGTGCTGTCCCACACTGTAGTGTCCTGTCTGGGAATCACCCAGTGGAATCCTGCCTCAGTATGGAGTAGCTGTTGAAACATCTTAGTGATGCACAGTGAGCATTGAAGTCTACAAGCAGAATCAGACCCTCTCCCATGCAAGCCATCACCTCTACTTCATTCTGCCAGGGCTTGGACATCCCAGAGACAGTATAGGGCATTCAGCTCTTCTACATACTTGGGAGTGGTGTAGAGGAGTGGGACTAGCACCACACTTGGACTGCAAGGCCTAGGAAGGTGAGACTGCCATAACTTTTTTTTCTTAGAATTTCTGGTTTGTTTGTTTGTTTTGAGACAAGGTCTCAATTATGTAGCTCTGGGTATCCTGGAACATTTTTTTTATTAAATGTTTATTTTTATATTAATTACAGTTTATTCACTTTGTATCCCTGCTGTAGCCTCCTCCCTCATTCCCTCCCAATTCCACCCTTCCTCCCTCATCTCCTCCCATGCCCCTCTCCAAGTCCACTGATAGGGGAGGTCCTCCCCCCTTTCCATCTGACCCTAGATTATCAGGTCTCATCAGGAATGGCTGCGTTGTCCTCCTCTGTGGCCTGCCAAGGATGCTCCTCCTTTCAGAGGGAGGTGATCAAAGAGCCTGCCACTGAGATCAGACACAATTTAGTTACATTTTATTAACTCTGTATATGAGCTGTATCCTGTTCCCTGGAACTCTTTTTCTAGACAGGGTTTCTCTGTGTAGCTCCAATCCAACCTGCCTCTCAAGTGCTGGGATTAAAGGTGTGGACTACCACCCCTGGCTTAAGTTTTTCTTTTATCACTGGAGATAAACATGTACCCTGTCACTAACTTATGCCTTCAGCTCCCAGGAATTTCTTTTTGTTAATATTTAAGATTCTTTTTTATCCTTACCACATATATTACATCCCATACATTTCTCCTCTCTAAACTCCTCCCCTCTCCACGTAGATCCACTCATCTTCTGTTTCCCTTTTTTTTAAAAAAGAGCAGGCCTTCCAGGGATATCAACCAAATATGGCATAACAAATTGTAAGACTAGGCACAAACCCTCATATCAAGGCTGAATGAGCCAACCCAGTAGAAGGAAAGGAGACCATGAGCAGGCAAGAGGAGTTAGGAGTCTCACAAAAACACCCAGCAGAGGACCTAGCTCAGACCCATACAGTATCTTGACTTGTCACTTGAGTCTCTGTAAGCCCCTATGAACTCTGCTTAGCTAGTTCTGTGGGCCATGTTCTCAGTTTTTGTTTGTTTTTGTTTTCTGAGACAGGGCTCTGTATAACAGAACCGTGGCTATCCTGGAACTTGCTTGTAGACCAAGGTGACATCAAATTCACAGATAACTGCCTGCCAAGTGCTGGCATTAAAGGTGTGCACCACTACCTCCTGGCTTAGACTTAGAGATTTTATTTTTATTTTCTGTGTATGAGAATTTTGCCTGCACGCATGTCTGTACTGTGGATCTATAGAGGCTAGAAGAGGGTGTCAGATACTCTGGAACTGAAGTTGATGGTTGTGTGCTGTTGTGTGGGTGCTTAGAATAAAACCCTAGTCCTCTGCAAAAGCAGCAAGTGCTCTTAACTACTGAGCCACCTCTCCCCAGAACTTTTATGAGTTTTTTGAGATCTATTTTCATTATTGCCCAGCTGGTCTTGAACTCATGGACTTAAGCAATTCTACATGATTTAGCCTCTTGAATAGAATAGCTGGTACTTCAGACCACCAGATCCAGCCAGAATTGTCTTTATGAAGATAGAATTCAACCCCTGTGCTCACTAGTAATTCACATACTTCTTGTATGTGCTTCATCCCAGCAGTGCACTGTTTAGGAAGCTATATAATTCCTGTAATGGTCAAATCTGACAGGAAACAAACCCAGAGTTAGGATCTTTGAGACTCTGGGTGGAATCCAGAATAGATTGAAAGGGCCTTTCTTTACCTTTTAAGCTCTCAAAGCAGGAGGGGGACAGTATTCTGGGAAAAATTCACTACCTCCTGAAGCACCAAGGTATCACAGCAGACCAGGATCTGCAGGGAATGAGGAATACCAACTCAATTCAGAGCTGTCAACATGGAGGGGCTGGTATATGTAAAGACTGGCACCAGAGATAGCAGGGGGAGGAGGAGGAACCCAGGAAAACAAAGAGCATCATTCCATTATACCTTGACCAGTTTTAGAGGAGGAAGTTTATAATTAAATGATAATTGAAAGACAATTTTCATATCTGTACACTCATATTTCCAGATGTCCCCTCCTTTTTAGTAGTACATGCACCTGGTCAGGCAGGGCTGGGGACTTTTGGTCAAGGTCCTTAGGGACACAGATTTCTGCAACAATGGATTTACTTGAACTAAGATATCTATCACTGACTCCTTGGCACTTTAGCCAGTCTTAGTCTTTGGGCATTGAAAGCACAGACACAAAAAGCTTCAGCTCCACCAGCCAGGAGGATGAGCAGGAGAAACACAACAAGGCCACACATGGTCATGTGTGGCATCAGGAGCCCTCCAGAGGAATCCTGAGTGTCCAGACTGCATTGGCACTGCAGCTGATCTCCGCTAATTGGTGCTCTCCCTGCTGCTGGTCCTGAACATTTCTTGCATCTGTTCTGCAGAAGTGTTTCAACTTCTGAACAAACCTAATAAAATACATGTGGAGTGGTATGTGTCTTTTGAGAACTTACCAGAAGCACAACTGTTACCAGCCTAGATCTGTAGAGCTTTTTTATCTTCCCAATTGAAACTTTATTCTCTGTAACAGTAATTTCTTTGCCAAGACTAAGGCCAGAAGTTCACACAAGGTCAGCCTTACTTAGCAACAAAATCTGTCTATGTGCTTTGTCTTTCCTTCTATTTTTTTTTATCCTATTTTTTTTTTGCAAGACAGGGTTTTTCTGTATAGCCTTGGCTGTCCTGGACTTGCATTGTAGATCAGGCTGGCCTTGAATTCACAGATATCTTCCTGCCTCTGCCTCTCAGAGTTCTGGGATTACAGGTGTGTACCACCTCGCCCAGCGTCATCCTATTTTTTTTTAATGTGTATATGTGTCTATGCATTGTACACAAGTGTGGGTGAGTACATGGGTGCATGTGAGTGCATGTGCATGTATGTGTGTGCACACTTGGAGGTCTGAGGTCAACCTCAGGAGCTATTGTTGGAATAATGTTCTTGTGAAATGTATACAATTTATCCTTGTTCATTCAAATGCTGATTTCTCTACCCCACTATCTAGTTTCAAGCCGAACATTGCATTGTGATGTTTATTCTAAACATTACCTGTCTCAAGTTTGTGTAAACATGCCACCTTTTGTTCTCTGTATTGTCAGTAAAACAACCAGCCACAATGCTGAGCAAAGGAGAGGATAGGGTGGGACATCCTGATCCAGACTAGAGGAGAAAGAAGCAAGTGGGAGAAGAGGGAAGCAGAGATTGGCAGGAGGACTTTGAACCATGGGAAGAGATGAACTAGACCTAAGATATGACTAAAAGCAAGTATAAAGGGAGAAATCTAAATGGTAGGAAACTATGTGGACTTGGAGGTTTAGGATGTGCTCTAGGTTAATTAAATAAATCCTAGTTGGGGCTGGAGAGATGGCTCAGTGGTTAAGAGCACTGTATGCTCTTCCAAAAGACCTGGGTTCAATTCCCAGCACCCACATGGCAGCTCACAACTGTTTGTAACTCCAGTTGTAAGGGATTTGAAACCCTCACACCAATGCACATAAAGTAAATTATTTAAATAAATAAAGAAATAAATAAATTCTAGTCTCTGTGTGGTGATTTGCGTATACAGTTGGTTTAGAAATAACAGCTACTTAAGTAAAACTTAAATCAATAATAAATATTAATAACCCACAACAAGCCATCTACCCTGCTTTTTAAGTCAGACTCTCACTAGACTGGACATCACCAAATTAGGCTAGGTTATTTGGCCAGCTATTGAAAACCTAGGGATCTGCCTGTCTTTGCCTCCTCAGTGCTTGAAATGATAAAAAAAACATTTCACTATGTCTGTTCTTTTTAAATATATTTTATTAGTCCTTTGAGAATTAGGCACATGCCTACAATGTATTTTCATCATATTCACCCCACTCCTCGCGGACGCATGCTCCCCTACTGCTTGCCTGCTTGCCTGTCTATGCATGTGTCTATACTAATACACTCTAGATGTAGAATGACACAGTAGTCATCCTTCTATGATTTATTATTATTGAGTATCATGTCCTCACAGTTTATTCTCTTGTTGCATAACGTGTCAATATTATTTTCTTTTTTAAGCCGTAAATAAATTTTAGATTTTATTTTTAATTATGCATATGTATGTGGGGGTATATGCACATGCAGATGCCTAAGGAGGCCAAGAGAGAGAGTTGGATCTCTAGGAGCTGAATTCAGAGGCAGTTGTAAAGCTGCCAGATGGAGGTACTGGGAACCACACCTCTGTTCTCTGTAAGAGCAGTAGTCACTCTTTTTTTTTTTTTTTTTTTTTTTTTTTTTTGAGACAGGGTTTCTCTGTGTAGCCTTTTCTTTTTGTTTTTAAAGCTATTTTTTATTTATTTCTTTATTTTACATATGTGCGCTCTATTTTGCGTGTACATCTGTATGACAGAAGAGGGCATCAAATCTCATTATAGATGGTTGTGAGCCACCATATGGTTGCTGGGAATTGAACTCAGGACTTCTGGAAGAACAGCCAGAGCTCTTAACCTCTGAGCCATCTCTCCAGCCCCTGTGTAGCCTTTTCTGTCCTGGAATTCACTTTGTAGACCAGGCTGGCCTCAAACTCACAGAGATCTTCCTGCCTCTGCCTCCCTGAGTGCTGGGATTAAAGGCGTGCACCACCACCGCCTGGTTTCAGTAATCACTCTTAACTGCTGAGCAAATTTTAAGAATTATTAATATTTTAGTCTGAGACAGAGGCAAGTGGATCTCTGTGAGTTCAAGGCCAGCCTGATCTACAAATTGAGTCAAGGACAACCAAGACTGTACACAGAGAAACCCTGTGCTCCCCTGCCCACCACCAAAAAAAAAAAAAAAAAAAAAAACCCAAACAGTATGTGCTCAGACACACTTTATTCATCAGTCTGTGCTCAGACACACTTTGTTCATCAGCATTGAGGACTTGAACTTCTGATCCTCCTGCCTCTACCTCACCCTAAGTGGAATTATTGGTATATACCACCAAGCTTGGCTTGTGCAGTGCTGGAGATGGACCCCAGGGACTCATATGTTGGTTATGTATAGAAGGCTAACTATTTAAGCCTCATTACTAGGCAAGCACTATACCAATTGAATCACATTCCAGCTCAGCCATTTTGAAAAACGTAAGCACCTCAATTTCCTGAAGCAGAATAGCTAATTCATAAGATAGTTCTACTTTTAATTTTTAAGGTACACTTTTTTTTAAGGTGAACTTTTCCATAGCTGTTAAGCCATTTTACATTCCCACTAACAATGGGAATAAGGTCAAACCCTTATTCTCTTAAACTGCTATGTACTGTTGGGTGGTGGTGGTACATACCTTTGATTCCAGTACTTGAAAGGTAGAGGCAGGTAGATCTTTGAGTTCAAGGCCAGTTTGGTCTACAGAGTAAATTCTAGGATAGCCAGGGCTATACAGAGAAACCCTTGAAGATGGGTGAGCGCAGTGAATCCCATCACTTTGGCAGGCAGGCAGAGGCATGTCGATCTTTGTGAGTTCAAGGCCAGCCGGGAAGGCCAAGACTACATGGGGGGGTGGGCAGCCTTACTAGGCCACAGAGGAAGACAATGCAACCAGTCCTGATAAGAACTGATAGACTAGGGTCAGAGGGAATGGGAGGAGGACCTCCCCTATCAGTGGACTTGGAGAGGGGCATGGGCAGAAATGAGGGAAGGAGGGAGGGAGGGAAGAAGGGAGGGAGGGAAGGAGGGAGGGAAAGTTTGGGAAGGGACTAGGGAGAGGGATACAGCTGGGATACCAAGTGAATAAACTGTAATTAATAATCAATCAATTAATTAATTAATTAATTAAAAAGAAAAAAAAGGACAATTTATCAGAAAATAAATAAGCCTCAATAGGATAGAGATAATTCCAGGTTCAGGAAAGTCCAGTTTGTCCTATCCATATTAGAAACTAAAACCTCTTTAGGCATTTCTTTCTTCTTATTTTTTCTTTCTTTGTTTTTTTTGTGTGTGTTTGTATATGTATGCATGTGTGCATGGATCTATGTGGAGTCTGCTTTTGCCTTCCACCATGTGGGTTCCAAGGATCAAACTCAGGCCACCATGTTTGGCAGCAAAAGTTTTTATCTGCTGAGCCATTACAACAGTCTCTCTCTCTCCCTTTTTCTTTCTTTCTTTCTTTCTTTCTTTCTTTCTTTCTTTCTTTCTTT